GTTCACAAACTACTTGATAAACACGAAAAAGTAGAAGAAAATATCATTTTGAATCATCAAAAACGTTTCCTTTTATATAGCGTATTTCCAATTTTCAACTCTATGATGCACATTTTTTGACTATTTTAAAGCAACACATTAATAAGACTAAATAATAACAACTGTTCGATAAGTTCTGATCGTTTCTCATTTATTTTTATTTGTTATAATAGATTTTCCCTTTTTCTAGCCTTACCCATATGCTTATGTTCGAGATTTTTTTCATTTGTTACTTTTTTACGTTTTCACTTTATTCCGATGGTTCGGTACATGGACCTTGAATGGGATATTTATCTTTTCAAATCTCGTGATTTTAAGCAGCAAAATGCTTTTTAAGTTTTGACTTCGTAATTTTTTAAATAGGAATAAAAATTAAAAAAAATATTACATAAACGGACTATTTTAAGATCAAATTTATGCAATTTAGTGTATGTCGAGCATTTGTATAGCCAAAATACATGTGGGAAATACGTAATCAGCAATGTTGCGATTTTTTTCTAGTATACAGATAAATACAGCCTTATTTTTGACACCCATACAAACTTTTGAAAAAATCATCTGGCATCCCTGCGTGTGCTTGAGCCCATGAGCGTGCTTGCGTTCTCCGCAGTTTTGGAAGATCCTGGATAGTTTGTATAGCTTTCCATCATTAAATTATACCAACAATAAATTTGTTGACACTTCTATAAAACCATTAAAAGTATGGGCATCTCAAGAAACTAATGATAAATGCACTATTTAGAACATAAACTTCTTAGCATCTTGTTCTACTCCTTAGCGAGATAAACGTATTCCTAAAGGAGATTGTGCTTAATCATTTTGAGTCCGACAAAATATCAATACGTCTCACGATCGTTGAACGTGGGTTTTGATGATTTCAAGAAATACTTTGGAAGAGTTGACATGCACTTGCAAATTTCTTCCGTACGGAGTTGACCTTTATACTATCTATTATTATATTATATAAGGGGCTTTTCATGAAACACGTAGACACTAGAGAGAGTCTAGTATAAGAGAGGAGCGTACTAGCTGGTTTTGAGCCAAACGAACTGTCAAAGCCAGAGTCAACCGAGCAGCGCCTATCTGGATTGCATTGGCAGTGTTGCTAGAAACTACCCAGGCATAGGTTGCCAAGGCAGTTTGTTTTGAATCCGCTCCTCTTTTATACTAAACTCTCTCTAGTAGACACTATAAGAGGAGTGTGGGGGGTGGCGATTGTCTACGTTAGTGTCTAATATTGCATTGTTTGAAATTAGAAACTGGCTTTTTAATATGAAATCGCGTTTTTCTTAATATTTATCAACATTAAATAAAACTGCCAGTTCCTAAAATGGTTCATACTGTTTCTTTTGATTGTGTAAACCTTGTTTCCATAATTTGTGTACACAAATCAATTCGTTAATGATAAATTCATTGGAAAAATCTTTGTGGGACAGTTATGCGTAGAATTTAAACATGGGACAATTAGGCTTGATGTTGTTTTTATACAAACCCAGAACAAACAATATGTTTTTATATTTTCAATCCAAAGTCTACCTAAAAAAGTACTGTTTTATGAACAAAAGATAAAAACCGAGGGGGGCGACTCTATCTACGATGCAAAAAAGATTGTGTTTTGCTGTGGCTAGCTGCGCGCACACTGAGTAGATAGAAAGAAGATTGATGACGATTCTGAAGATTTCCTGCAAAAAATTGATGAGCGATGCAAGCAGATGCGACAAATGAAAGAAGATTGTTCGAAGATTGATTCGCTAGTGTGAGATTTGTTGACCATCTAAACTTGAGATTTAGATGTGTCGCCCCCCTCGATAAAAACGCCCAAAAGTAACATGGGACAGATATGCGTAGAACGGCAGTAGAGCAGATATAAAGTTTGGAAGCTATAAATTATCCTTCCCAGGTAACCAATAAGCAAATCTCCTGGCCCAGATGGAATTTTTCCAGCACATATTCAAAATTGTAAATCTATAATAATTCCTGTTTTAGTTAAATTGTTCAAGTCTAGTTTCTTATTGAGATACATCCCAAAAAATGGAGACAAGTCCGAGTGGTATTCATACCAAAGGCGAACAAAAGAGATAAATCTTCACCAAAATCATTTAGACCAATAAGCCTGTCATCAATATTTTTGAAATTAATGGAAAAACTCATAGATGAATATGTCAAATCAGAAATACTTCTTAACAAACCATTATGTAAGACACAATTTGCTTACCAGTCAGGCATGTCAACAATAACAGCTCTTCATACTCTTATTAATAAAATAGAAAAATCCTTTGCGGCTAAGGACATTCTACTAGCAACGTTTCTTGATATTGAAGGTGCATTTGATAATGCATCTTTCACGTCGATGATAAGCGCCATGAGAAATCGTGGTTTTAATAAAAACATAATCAACTGGGTTGTAGAAATGCTATCCAAAAGCGAAATATCAGCTAATCTAGGAGATTCAGTAGTGAAAGTAACAGCTGTAAAAGGCTGTCCTCAAGGAGGTGTTCTTTCTCCCCTTCTGTGGTCCCTAGTTGTTGATGACCTTCTTATAAAACTAAAGCACCAAGGATTCGAAATAATATGGTTTGCGGATGACATTGTCATTATAGTCCGTGGAAAATTCGATAAAGTTGTTTCCGAAAGAATGCAAAAAGCATTAAAATTCACACTATCGTGGCGCAAAGATGAGGGATTGAATATCAATCCCTTTAACTAGGAGACGTAAAGCTGTCACTATCTTTAGAAGTAAAGTTTTTAGGAGTAACTTTAGATAGTAAACTCTGCTGGAACAAACATATTGATCAACAAATAGGAAAAGCAACAAATGCTTTTTGGACCTGCAAAAGAACGTTTGGAAAAAAATGGGGTCTGAAGCCAAATATGATACACTGGATATACTCGGCTATAGTTAAACCCAGGATTACCTACGCCTCACTTATATGGTGGCCGAAAACTAAGCAACAAACGGCACAAGTCAAACTAAACAAGCTACAAAGGCTTGCTACTATTTCCATAACTGGAGCAATGCGTAGTACTCTCTCTACAGCCTTGGATGCTTTACTCAATATCCTTCCTCTTCATCAATTTATTCAACTGGATGCAGAGAAAAGTTCTCTAAGGCTCAAACGGTCCATGAATTTCTTCGATGGAGATCTTATTGGACATTTGAGCATTTTAAAAGAGTTTAAGATAAGTCCATTAATATTGATGAACGAAGATTGCATGCTAAAGCGACATTATTTCAACCATAATTTCCAAGTTCCTGGTGTGACTCGCGTTGACTGGGATGCAGGAAGACTGAATATTAGTCCTGGATCATTAATCTTTTATACAGATGGCTCGAAACAAGATAATATGGTCGGGGCTGGTATTACCGGCCCTGGGGTTAACTTTTCGGTGTCCATGGGAAATTGGCCGACAGTATTTCAAGCTGAAATATATGCCATCTTAGAATGTGCAGCGATTTGCATAAAAAGAAACTATAAAAATGCGAATATATGCATTTGTTCAGATAGTCAAGCGGCGCTGAATGCTTTGAAATCAAAAACTTACACGTCAAAACTGGTGTGGGAATGTACTAAACTATTACAGCAACTGTCCTGTCGAAATACGGTTAACCTTTATTGGGTTCCTGGTCATTGTGGAATCGAAGGAAATGAAAATGCTGAACAATTGGCAAAAATAGGGTCATCCACGAAATTCATCGGTCCTGAACCATTCTTTGGACTTTCTTTTTGTGCTTTAAAAATGGAGCTAAAAAACTGGGAAAAAACAAAGGTACAGTACAACTGGACCAGTACCTTAAATTCTCGGCAATCTAAACGTTTTTATAAAGTCGAACGCTTTTCATACACAAAAGTTACTTAATCTTTCAAAAAAAGATTTGAGTACATACACTGGTTTGATAACAGGACACTGTCCTTGTAAATATCACCTGAAAATCATTGGTAAACTTCATGACGATAAATGTCGCTTTTGTAACTTAAAGAGTGAAAGCTCTGAACATTTGCTGTCTGACTGTGTTGCACTATTTCATAAACGATGCAGATATCTTGATAAGGGTCTGATGAGACTTTGGGAAATCTGGGCTGCTGCTCCCAATCAGGTAATAAATTTCATAAGGAATGTATTACCTGCTTGGGATGATTGCCTACAACAGTAGTGGTAGTTACTCAAACAATAGTGGCTTACCGCTACGTTATGGCATAAATAAAAAGAGGATACACCACAATAGATCAAAGTAATGGTCGCGGTGGTATTGATTTAATGCATATGAAGCTAATATAGAGTTGATATAATACGAAAAAGGCGAATTAGTGGGCTTTTATATTGCTAATATGGTAGCCCGTTACTAGCACTGCTAATCCTTACTTAGGGCTGGTATGTAAACCGTCAAAAATGTTCTTGAAAATATGGAAGTAACTGAAGTGGCGCCCACTCAAATAGTAGACATATTACTGCCAAAATGCTTCGTCATAAATGGATACCAAAATGTTGCGAGAAACAAAACACTTTTAGCTCTGCCAAAGCGTAGTTTAATCATGATCCATAGCTACCTAATTCTTATCTCATTTTACTTTTCTGTACGTCTGTATCATACGTTAAACCGTTAAACCTCAAGTTAGACATTCAGTGGTTAAGCGAAGACCACATCAAAACAACAATGACGAGACGAAACGAATGGCTTGATTTATTTGATATTAGTTTCCACAGGATCGGTTCCGGTTTTCAGTCATGCAGGCATTTGAAATGTAAAATATTTCTATTTTAATGAATTCACAGCTGCCCTAGATTATACTAATATAGCAGAGTACCTCGCAGAGCACACGAGAGTCCACAGTTCATCGGGTTCTAATAGTTTGTTCCTCCAAGGCTGTTTTCAATATTTAATAGATTAGTGATCATCTCGATCGTGTCTTTTGTCGTGATTCGTCCGTTGTCGAATCTACAGACAAAACAGTTTGCGCGTAGCATTTGATGGTAATGTGTGCTTGTTCTGTGTTCAGAAGAATCAAAACAAAATACACAATAATTGCAAAGCCTGGTCACCTTGGCATTGAGTAGTTGAAAATTGTTTCCTGCATTTCTGATTCTTTCTCCGTAACAAACAACCGCTCTGTGTTGGGGTGGTAGATGTAATAAAATCTTTATCAGCCAGACTAACTCGGATGGGCCTACGTGTTTGACTTGATGATTGTTTGATGTGTGTAATCATATTCCAATAAAGTTTTCTGTTTATCAAAAGAACCGATTGCTTCGTATTTGGCGCGATAGCCATTCTCTCGGCTGACAGATATTTTCATCTCAGCAGTTTAGGTCGAAGTGCCTTGCAGGTCGACCGTCTTCAAGCTTCTTTCTGTAGGGCAGAAACGGTCTGCACCTGAACAAGGGTACATCGTTAATCCTATAACGAATTTTCGGTAGAGCGAGCGTTTGAACTGTATCAGTATCAGTATCAGTATCAGTACATCCTTATCATCATCACTTGAGTAATTTATTTTAGTCAGCGTTAATGCCTCAATGCACAAGCTTTCTCTCGCTTGAAGCTCGAGTGCCTTGAGAAGATTTGAGCAAATAAACAGTTGTGTATATTCAAAAGATTAACTTTAGAAAAAAGAAACGCCTGAAAATTGTGTCTCATGTGCTGAACGAACCAGGTACCAGTCTAACCACCATGGGAGTTCACGAGCCTCATCCGTGTTGAGATATACTGCTGGTATTATTCATTTAACGTTCACGATTTCGATGAGACAGTTATTGATGTAATTCTGTTGAAGTGCTGGCCAAAATAACGTGAATCAAGCAAGTTCGAACAGAAGCTAAAACATGGCGAAAAATCAACGAAACAAACATGCCGTCCATGTGGATCATGTCGCCTATTATCACACTTATAAGTACAACTCGCTGCAAAGACTCAACAGTAAGTATCTCATAACGTCGTTAAAAGTGATTAGAAATTTCCGACAGATAACTGTCCACTGGTGACGTTTAACACATTGTAGAAACATGTTACTGATGAGTGATACTAACTGATAATAGATGTACCTAGTAACTAGAATGCCTGTATTAGTAGAGAGACGATATACCATCCCAATCTAATATAAACATTTTTTGACATCCTTGCGATTAGTCGTCGATCACACTGTATGTGTACTAACTGTCACGTGAAGGATTTTTTGCTATTTATTGATGAAAATGAACATTTCAATAGGACAGTCTGCATTGAATTCGACCAAAAATACGATAAAATACGTAACAACAGAATTGAGTGTAATTCAACCATTTTACATTATTTCTTAGCATAGAATCCATTTGCATGCTTTTCAACAGTGGTATTAGAATGCAAGAAATCAGTATCAAATCAGATTTTCCGAATTTTAAATAACCTAAAGTAACATAAGCAATTTCACGTATCTAAGTCCATAATTTTGCGCATTTTTGAAAAATTTAAACCAAATTTTTAATGAGGATATTTTCAATTGAGCTAGAAATTGAGATATACTTTATTGTCTAGTGTAAAATTTAAAAAATATCACAATACACTACAAATTGTTGAATAAAATGCACGGAGTTAATTATGGTACTTCACGGTATTATTTTTTTTATAAATTTATTTATTACGGATTATTGTAAAAATTTGAAAATTTTGTGAACTCCATAATTTTTTTTTTGTTAATCTGTATTTGAGAGATTTTAGCCGAAGGCTAGTTCATCTCTCAATTCGATAACTGTGTATCTTTGATAATGCGGGTAACTATCAAAGTAAAAAAAATTTACTCGCTGCGCTTTTTCCAAATTAGAAATATTGCTTCCATATTGTAGCTTAGGGTTTTTCCGTTGATATCGTATATAGTATTACATATTTTACAAAAATATTAAAACACAATTTTCGTATTTTTCGCCTGTTTGAAAAAACACTCAAACCATCACTTATGAAATGTGTTTTCAATATAGCCATCGCAAATTCAAAGTTGTATTCTTATTGCCTATGATGTTTTCTGGTTATATACTCATTCAAAGTTTCATATTTAAAGAACTTAAATGTTTGAGTTTCACGCATTTTTTTCTACATTCATCGAGCATTATCAAAGTAACCCCTAATCAAAATACTGATGTTCTGTCACAAAACTAAAAAATAGTGCAAATGCTTTAATTTCCGTTAAACAAATTACTAATGAATAAACTCTTGGATCCCCAGTACTTGTTTTAAAAATATAAAATTCAAAAAAATTTCATCGCTGCAAAAAATATTTACAATATATTTAAAAAAAATATCAATGTTACCCCGTTTTACGGTAATTGTTTTAATTTCAAGATTTTCTTTCCTTCTTTTTGGGTTTTAATACTACCCTACTGAGACTTTACACCGGCTCTCAACTTAGTGTGCTTTTAGTCTAAGCCTGTACCATTTTTGCATTAGTATTATAGTGTGGTAAGTACAATAATACTCTTTGTCCAAGGATGTCGAGAAATTTTCCAACCCGAAACATTCCTATACTAGACCGGGAATCGAACCCATGCGCCTGCAATATGGATTTTGCTTTAAGCTGCTCCTTTACCGACTGAGCTTAGGGAGGCCCCAAAGTTCTATAAATCCCTGGAGATCGAAAATATTCTGAGGCCATAAACCCTTCCTGTCCCTATGTGGACAGCATTGCGAATATTTTTTTTAATATGCATGAATCTTGAACCACAGACAAACAGACGTAACACTTCATTGTGTATCTTCGTTCACGCATTTAACGGTTGATTTGAATATTATCAGTTCCGCGAACTACTCACCGCAGCGCTGGCATCGGATCACTTTGACGTTTCTATACATTCTATAGAACTTTTATGCAATATTGTTTGCGAGTTAATGAGCAATCTTGTTTTCCGCGAGAAGCCAGAGAGATGACGTTACTGAGGTCTTATGTTTTGAGATACTATGTTTTCAAGAAAAACTTGTTCAAAGTGTTACGTCTGTTTGTATGTGCTTGAACACTACCATCTGGACACCTAGAGAAACAAAATCAAAATTTTCCGAATGTCACCGACCGAAAGCACCGTTGAACCGGAAGCTATATCCCAACCGGAATCTTCGGACACCCCCGGACGCTCGAACCAACCAGGCGAAGATAATTGTTCCTTGGGTACGCGAACTACCGGACCACCTCTGCGGTCCTCGGACGAAGAACAAACAGAAGAACCCAGCGGTAGCCCCTGGTAGCTGGGGCCCCGTCGGTGCTGACGCCACTCCCACACTGGAACTGACGGTAACCCCCCCGGCGCCGCGGGAAGTCTGGAAGAGGGACACACAAGGGTGGAAACGCTCATCCCCCTACAGACAACAAGAGAGTCAAGTCTGCTCGTGATATCGGGACGGATAAGGGCTCGCAACCCATTCCCCGAAAGACTCTGAGGGAATCGAAACCGCCGCTACAACGACCGAAACCACTAGAACATCACCGGGTAACTCATCCTTCGCTTTCGTTGGGACATCCCTGCCCAGGATGGGTGGAACGCCTCCACCTGCCTTTGGTAGGGCTCTGTCTCATTCGGCATACGGAACAGACCTTTCGTCCGTTTTGCAGCACTACGATGCATCGAGTATGTTCGATATTAGTCTACTCGACGACCATCAACCTGACGAAACTGGGTCCGCTGGTTCGTACAGCTCGAATCCCCTACCGGCTTTGCCAAAGTTGATAAATTTCCTGTTGCAATGGAACATCAACGGATTTTGCATCATCTAGCCTAGCGGATTTGGAGCTACTATGTCAAGCCAATTCTCCCTGGGTGATAGCGCCCCAGGAAGTCAACAAGGTAACAGTTGAGCAGATAAAAAAAAAATGATGATGATGGTCCCACCTCTTACCCCTACAAAGGTTTGAGCTGGACGATTTATCTTTAAGATAATTGAATATGACATTTTAACCAGGTTGGCAAACAAAATCGAACTGGTTTCAGTTACAGATATAGATTCCTTCTAAAGTTTACAGTTGCTTCACAGCGATATAAATGTGGAAAAGCTCAGGCGTCCACCTCTTAGTTCGCCTTTTTGTCCACCTAAAATATTCATAAGTATTACAAGCAATCAAGAGTTAATGAACAATCAACAAAGCATCCTATTACACTAGTAACCCCGCAATCTGATGCTATCATAATTTTCAGCAATGTCAGGAATGCTCACGAACCCCCAACATTTGCCAGAAAACTTACTTCTGGACCGGTCGTTGGGTGGTAAATACTACTGGACGGTTAAACGCGGGAACAACTTCTTACACTCCGTCGCCATCGGGGTTCTGAAGGAGGTCCCTTTTTGGTTTGTCGACATTGACTCAGCTTCCTATTTTGGGAGTTCACTTGGAGTAACCAGCCAACATCGCAATAGCATGCGCATACCTGCCTTGTGGGAGATTAGCAAACCTCAACGGTCAAATCGACAGCATCTTCGATAACCTACCTGAACCGCGTATATTTTTGGGAGACTTGAACGCGCAGCACTCCAGCTGGAGGTGCCCCCGGTTCGACTCGAGAGGTACACAGTACAGTCTAGAAAGGGTCTAGCAACACTGCCAAGACAATCAAGATAGATGCTGCTCAGTTGGCGTTGGCGTTGATAATTCGTTTGGCTCAAAACCAGCCAGTCCGCTTCTCTCTTATACTAGAGCCTATCTAGTACACTCATAAAATTTGACACATTTTTATTGGCGAATTTCTATGTAAAATTCCACATGATTTTCATGTGTCCACACACAAACAGACTCCACACAGAAGTACTCATGAAATTTATGAGTCAAATGAATAGTATGTGAAATGACATGAATGTTATGTGTACACATAAAAGCTATTTGTCCGACACATGCATATCATTTGTTGATCACATTGCAAAAATTCATGTGTGGGACAAATAAAAATAATGATTGAATTTTTATTATTGTACAGTCAAAGAACTGAATTGGGTAAAGAGCAGGGATGCCAGAAGATTTTTTTCTTAAGTCTGTATACAAAGAACAAAAATTGTTGCTTTAAAAATAATGCATGATCAAATTAAAAGTTTCCCAAATTTCGTAGTTTTAACTATGAAAATTTTCAAAATAAAACATATTTTTTGGGTTAAAAGTGTTTCTTTCACTTTTGGCTTGTAATTTTAAAAGTGTTTTTTTTTAGAATAAAAGTCGAAAAACTGTCAAAAATCTCTCCATTGCAAAGTTTTTGACAGTACTGGACCACCGTTTCCCGCCAAATTGGACATGTGAAAAAAACGAGATCAGCAGCTAACATGAGCAGCAGCAGTTTCTTCAAGTTTCCCACATTTTCATCCGCCGGCGCGCTTGTTTATCTTCTGACGCTATCGAGTGGAAGGATCGGAAGGATATTCCAGTTACGGGATTTGGAGGTAGGTTGATGAAATTTTCGAATACTTTCGAGCTTGCTTCCGATTTTACTAATTTATGTGTTTTGAGCAGCCTCGTCAGTCTTGCCGGAAAAGAAGGCTACTCCCACCATCACCATCACCAACTGTATCATTTGCGTAAAATGCTTCCCATGTAAGATTCTACAATGCAGTGCCCTTTCAGTCATCATCAAAAATATAAATAAACGAAAATACATTAAATAAAATATTTCTATTGTTTTGTTTTTCAAAGCATATAGCAGTCGAATTAAAAATAATTCATATTTGAGATCAAAACATACATCGTTGCGATAAAAATGCCCATATTTTAAATTAAATCCTTTCGTGAGTCTATTTAAAAAAACATTGATTTTTAATTTGACAGTTCTACAATTCGATTTAAAAGTTTCTACTTTTAAAAGTAAAAAACGAGTTATTTTTGAATTGACAGTTGGCTGACTTTTGTTTTGAATGCAAAAGACTTTCTACCAAAAAGAACCAACGCAAACTTTTAATTCTACCAATGGTTTTTTCAATTTAATCAATGATAATTTTTTGTGTGTATGAGTGTCAAAAAATATGTCTGTATTCATCTGTACACTAGAAAAATCGCCGCATTGCTGATTACACATTTCCCACGTGTATTTTGGGTATAAAATTGCTCGCCACACACTAAACTGAATAAATAAGCATATTTGTACTTAAAAAAGAGCGTTGATGTGTTTTTTTTTAATTTTTATTCCTGAAACAAAAAATACGAAGCCAAAACTTAAAAAGCATTTTACAGCAAGATAAACTTCTCATTCAAAGTCCATGTACCAAACCATCGGAATAAAGTAAAAAGTAAAAAATAACATGTGGGTAAAGCTAGAAAAAGGGAAAATCTATTGTTCCAATTAAAAATAAACGAGAAACGATCAAAACTTAACAAACAGATGTTATTATTTAATCTTATCATACAGGTTGCTTTGAAATAGTCGAAAATCTGTTCATAATCATAACACGTACCATAATCACAACAAGATGCATACAATCGAAAATAATTTTGTTTATTATATGTTAAATTTCAGAAACCAATTGGTACATAATCTGTATTAAGTTTCAAATATCTGTATAATGTCTGTAGTCTGTATTGGGTCTGTACGAGACTTCAAAAATCTGTATAAATACAGACATATCTGTATATCTGGCACCGCTGGTAAAGAGGCGACATCTTATCCATTTGACAGGTCTTCTGCTCGATTGGAATCCCTAATAAAGATAACCATAAGTGAGCGCTTAACGACGTGTTCGGGGTATCATCCAAACCAATTGTGGGATAGTTTACCCATGCGAGATACAGTTCGTTTATTGTATTTTTTTTATTAGGGATAACTTTTCCTATTACTTTGACAGGTAATCGATTGTTCTAATTTTGAAATGTTGTCGCTTTATAAATTCAGCCTCTTTAGTACAGTCGATTGCAAAATGGTCCCAAAGCCGTATTTTAGGAAGACAAAAATGTTTGCGCTTAAACCTTAGTTTTAAATTAAAGTTTAAATATATTTTTAGGTAATTTTTTTATGTAAGTGAAATTAGGGTGGTTCATATGGCTATTGGGTTCAAAATATCACCTTTTTAATTATTTGAGATATAGACCTTCACATTGTACGACAAAGTTGTACAACAATTCATTTGTACACATTTTCTATCTCTTCACGCTAACCAAAAATTTGAGAAGTGCTGTTTAAATTTGTTTTTGCTTTAGGTAGCAGTAACACTTCAGCAAAAAGCAAATAGATCCGCACGGTACGAATGCAATCTTAAAATGCTTTGATTTTGCAAATGGAACATTTTATTTAAATCTGGTTGCTGCTACAGTGGTAGAAAAGCTCAAATCTATGTGTACACCTAAAAATCTGAAAAGAAATTAATTTTTCTGTATTATTTGTCTATTGAGTAGTCCTTAAGTTTTCTACTAACATAGCATCAACCAGATTTAAATAAAATGCTCCATTTGCAAAATAAAAGCATTTTAAGATTGCACTCGTATACCTCACCGTGTAAAATTTTGAAACCATCATCACTCTCATAGTTCTTCTATTCTCCACGAGTGCCAACTTTGATTTGCCAATTGGTGGGAGTATTAATTTAAACCATCAATATTGGCAAATCAAAGTTGGCACTCGTGGAGAATAGAAGAATAGTTGAAAGTGATGATGGTTTCAAAATTTTACACGGTGAGGTATACGAGTACAATCTTAAAATGCTTCTATTTTGCAAATGGGGCATTTTATTTAAATCTGGTTAGTGCTACGTTAGTAGAAAACATAAGGACTACTCAATAAACATATAATATAGAAAAAATAATTTCTTTTCTAATTTTTAAGTGTATACATAGATTTCAGCTTTTCTACCACTATAGCAGAAACCAGATTTAAATAAAATGCTCCATTTGAAAAATAAAAGCATTTTAAGATTGCATTCGTATACCTTCCCGTGGAAAATTTTGAAACCATCATCACTTTCATAGTTCTTCTATTCTCCACGAGTGCCAACTTTGATTTGCCAATAGTATTTTTGCCAATTGGCAAATCAAAGTTGGCACTCGTGGAGAATAGAAGAACTATGAAAGTGATGATGGTTTCAAAATTTTCCACGGGGAAGTATACGAGTGCAATATTAAAATGCTTTTATTTTGAAAATGGAGCATTTTATTTAAATCTGGTTACTGCTACAGTGGAAGAAAAGCGGAAGTCTATGTGTACACCTAAAAATCTGAAAATAAATTATGTTTTCTGTATTATATGTCTATTGAGTAGTCCTGAAGTTTTCTACTAACGTAGCACTAACCAGATTTAAATAAAATGCTCCATTCACAAAATAAAAGCATTTTAAGATTGCACTCGTATACCTCCCTGTGGAAAATTTTGAAACCATCATCACTTTCATAGTTCTTCTATTCTCCACGAGAGCCAACTTTGATTTGCCAATAGATTTTGTTTCTGTGTATGAAAACTTTTTTAGGTGTAAGACTAAAGCCCTCCAGTTAAAGTATGGACGACTGTCACCACAAAACTGAAAAAAATTTGTTCGGCGGTGCATTTTGACGGTTCGACAACTTTTGACAGACGTCCATACTTTTATTGTATAGGGCTTTACATAATACCCCTTCTGTATATCGCAAAATAAAAATCAAAACATGTCGTCAGTCACATCACTGTCCATACGGGAATGACTGGGAGTATAATTTATTTGTGATGCCTTCCAAACTTGAAAAATGAACATTCCAATGTCAGCAGCATGACAAAAAGCTAACTTCGCTCATGTTCTGATTTTTCTGCTCTTCTCTACTTATTCGACTTATTCGTTCACATGTGTACCAGTATGTATTTATATGCGCGCTCGTACTAGTACTCATATACGATAAATAGAAGAAGAACTGGGTGTTTGGATAGTGTGCATTCCAAAAATATCGCGTCGCCGTCGTGCATTTCGATCAACACTTTAAATGCCCCTTCTGTTGGTGTTGTTTCCGATAAAATCCCATTCAATTCTTTGTCGCTATAGACTGTGTTTGTGAACAAGGCGAACGAAATGAGCCGTAATAATCATCGGATGCTCGACCAGATCGAGAAGAATAGTAGTAATTACCATTACTCAGTGTTATTCTCAAAGTAAGGACGGAAAAGAGGATTTGCGCACGTAGTGTGAGCAAAAAAAAAAACATCTTGTGTAAACGTATGAAAATATGATAAGGCACCCATTGAGTGGTCTATCATTGCTACTGATATCATTGAACCTAGTAGAAAATCCTCAACCTCCGATTGAGTCGCGTTCAAAGGTAAGATCATAGTTTAATGTTGTCCTGATCAGCTGAGAAGAATGTGGTGTTGAAAAATGAATAATAAAACTAAAACTTGCATTACCATGTTGCGTGACTTTGAAGATATTGTTGATACTTTTGTCATGATTTGTTGTTGCAACTTTGTGTCGTTTCACTCCTCATGAGAGTGTTTGTTGCGCAATTATTTGTTTTTATTAACGTGGACGGTTGATGAACGAAATGAAGCTTTTCCGCCGGCCTGGTCTGATATTTTCTAAAAATAAGCTTTCAGAAGCAGAATAAACAATGCTAGGTACATTATTTTAATTCGAAGCATGTAAGATAAGGTTGAACCCGTCAATCCGGTTGGACGATTATTCAGATTCTATAGTGTTTCTAAGCGTCAACCAGTGTCGTCAACGGAATAACTAACTCTGGATTATGTAAATTTTAGTTTGAATAGATACCTGACCTGAATCGTATATCAATTAATGCTTGTAATATATTCCAGAAATCAAAAGCATGCACGGAGTTAAACGCGTTATAGCATTCTGCATACTGACTGCTGTATTACCAGCCTCACTCATCATACTTCCGCTGTATCTACGGCATACTGTATTTGCCGATGTGATTTATCCTATCGCTGAGTCAGATATCATTGAGATACGGGATGGCATATCTTCAGTGTTCTGCCAGCGTCACGTCCTACAAATGAACACTAGCTTTAATGCATTCCAGCTGAATCAGAAACCAGAAATCTCTAAGAATAGGAAACATATTCGTCTGAAGAAGTCCATGTCCTTGCCTGACGATACCTTGGAATATTGGGGATTTTATCTCTTAAAAGGAGCGACGGTTGCTTTGAAAGTGTGCTCGCGGTACGATGGCTCCAGGATATTGGTCGTTAAAGGAGAGAGAAATCTTAGGACATGTGGACTGCTTGAACACAATAAGAACAAAGTGGGTACCCACTACAATACCGAACATATACAGGTGAAGGTGACATTCGAATCTGCTGCCGAAATAGTTGAATCGTCTGGAATTACGAGCAATAAATCTGGTCGATATGTGCCACCGGATGAAGGAAATCATGGTAAGTTGTACATTAGGTTAAATCTGGTTAGATTAGCACAAACAAAATTAAGGGAATTTGATCATCTGCATTCCAGGCTAGAAAAAGGTAAATGTATCTTTTTCGGGAAATACTCTCCTTCTACAATCTTTGAACAACGCTTAATTAGTGCATAGCTACTCATTTTAAATACCCTCGTGTTATTTTTAGAGCGTAGCAATGATTAAGCTTATAAAATTTAATTCTCTAAGAAGAAGCTCACGGCCGATGTCTATAGAAGCACCTTTCGAACGAAGCTTCTGAACGACGAAATAAGGTTTTACAAAGAGGCTTCTAGAAGGAGCTTCTTGAAAGAATCCTAGGGGCACGTAATAACCTTTAACTTCTATGAATTCCATTAACTACTGCTTTGACTACATTAATTACACAGTGCAGAACATAAGCTTCTTTTTAAGTCCATTAATTACGGTCGAAATTTCGTAATTAACGTACATTAATTAAATTTTCAGTAGTTTTAATTTTCATTACCTGCTGCAGTACTACTTCAAAACGTATTCATTACTTAAGTACATTTACTTGCATTTTTACTCCGACGCATCGGTTCTTTGTATTGCTTGCCCCTCGAAAAAATATTCTACGAAAAAGCATTAGAAAGAAGCTTCTAAAAGATACCTCTAGAAATAATCTTTCAGACAGACGAAACATTTTGAATAAATCTTCTAGAAAGAAGCTGCCAGACAGAGATTTCTACAAAGAAGCTTCTAAATTAAGCTTCCAGAATGAAGTTTTATGATTAAGCTTCCAGAAAGAATTTTATGATTAAGCTTCAGAAAGAAGCTTCATGATTAAGCTTCCAGAAAAAAAGCTTCATGATTAAGCTTCTAGAAAGAAGTTTTTTGAAGAATGAAGCTTCACAACGCAAATTAAAGCATTTTGCATTGAACATCTGACAGATCTGGACTGATTTGCACCTAACCTATTCACACATAGGAAATCCGGAATATCATAACCACTAGAAATAGAAATGGGCGGAGAGAATGTTTTGAGCCAAATGAACTGTCAAAATCTGAGCCAATCGAACATTCCAATCAGAATTTTCCGAGGATTTCTTATTCTTACTAGAATAAATTTGAGAGTATTGCAATCGAACAGAAATTCAATCACCTTTATGCTGAGTGGTGCGAAGACGGACCTCAAAATCGAACCACTTTCGAGCTGTCAAATCGAACCACTTTTTTATCATTGTGGTTCGTTGAAATAGATAGAAGTATTGTTATCGTCCAAAATAAAAAATAAATATTTTTCAGTAATGTTTTTGATTTTTTTTAAAACGTGATTCGAAACGACTCAAACAATTAAAAATAACAGTATTATTGCGTATTTTGGACCAAAGTAGACTCCTGCGCTGAAAAAAACCCCTCCGATTTTTTTTTCGCTCAGGAACGACTGTGACTTCGGAGAACGTTTTAAGGAGATTTGTGATGATAGTACAAAAGTTCCAGGAAATTTCAACAGATTTTTCCCGCGACAGAAGAGGTTTCAGTGGATATTTTAGTTGCTGCCAGCGAGGTTCTACGGGGGTTCTATAGAGTTTTCATGTTCGAGTTTCACACGATTTGGAGGGAAGTCAAATCGTTGCCATTGGAGGTCCCAGGGAATTTCGACAGCACTTCCACTGAATAAGCTTCGCTTTTCGTCGTGTCCATCTTTATAATTGCAAAAGTGAGCAAAACACTTCATTCTGAATTTTATTCCACTCCGTAAAAACTCCAGCTATGAACAATGTCAACAAAAAATCACAAAGTCACGAATCGGCTCTGCACAAAAAGCCGTTTGACACTTCTCTCTACCAACCGACGGTGATGAAAAGTTTATTTCAACACTACCAACATGAAGAAAATTTCACTTCGCACCACTCAGCCTTTATGTTTAGTGTGCTTCTCAAATTCAACTAGTTTTTGGAACCAAAAACAACATTCTAACTCTATTGATTAATTGATCTTCGTTGGTTAATAAATGGCACCAAGAAATGTGCAAAATATTGCAATGCAATCAATTATTATTTTGCACGTAAATCGAATCAAAAATAAAAGTTATTTGAAATGCTAGCTTTATGCTTTTTTTGTGATGATAGGGGAAATGGCTCTAATGTTGACCTATGAATCTAAGATTTGGCCCATCGCTAAAAATCAATTTTATCTAGTTGAACGTGCCATTGGGAAGGTACTAATGGACATTTTTAATCGCTATTGAAAATTTAGTCGATTGATGAAATTATGTATGGGCCCAAATTAGGGGCATTTAGGCCGACATTGCATCCATTTCCCCTATTTAGGGTTTATTATTATTTTTCCTTTTGTTATTATAGTATAGAGTTGTTAGGCACTTCAAATGATATTTTCTCTGATTCGGTTCTTGTAAGGCTTTTTCTTTTTTTTTTGCGTTTATTTGGGATTTGTGGGGTTTTTTACGTGTTTTTGTGTGGTTTTCGGAATTTAAGTGGGCGTCTTTATTCACTCAAAGTTCGCGTTATAAATTATTTTTTTGCCTTTTTTTCGTGGTTGCTACGACTACCATGACAAACTCGCTCTGTAATACAGCTCGATCGGAGTCGTAGAAGGATAATGATATATTGTTTGCTACTTTGTTGCAATATACATGGATGAGGACATAGCTTGAGCTTAATCGAGAAAAGACATAAAGCTGGGATTAAACAGGCCAAGTCAATTGATCATGAATGATGAATTCTACTGACTTGAACGCGAATTGAACGTGTTTAACCATGCCATTCAACTGACTTGATCAACTCACTTGAATTGAAAAAAGTTGAACCAGGCTCAACTTTTAAAGCCAATCGAATTCAACTGAGTTGATCATTTGACTTGCCTAGTCTAAACCCAGCTTAACAAAAAAAATCCATTAATATACGTGTATCATCTTTGGCTTTACTTCATGAAGCAGCTTGCCAAAAATTTGCTCGTTTCCTCGAGTAAGCTGTGTCGCCCGGGCTGCTTGTCATGAAAAAAAAGAAGAAGATTATATCATTATTGCTTTACACTTCTGACATACCGTTATCATTCGGTTCGTTGATCGCTTTTTGTTATTTGGAGATATTTTTGATTCCTTGATTAGACTAATAAGATATCATAATCATCAAATGAACTTAAGTAAGAAACTTCAGAAAGTCTAATAACATTAAGTAGATTAACAAAATAATTAGAATGCGGGGGGTCCGCTTAGGGAGGTAACCGAGGAGGTAACTAGCCTTTACAGTTGTAGAATAAATCTTCCTATTTAGTCTTGAACTTCAATAAGAAAACGCAAGTTAATCTCGAAGATGAAATAGCCATAGGCTAAAAATCTCTTTAATGAAGAATTAAAAAAAGCAGATTAACAAGGAAACAAGTTTAGGAAATAAGTAAAATTAGAAGTATGTGACAATTAATAACTTTTAATCTTTTGTAGGTTATTGTTTTCCCCTGAGTTTATTGTACTCGATTACTATATTATTCTCTTAAAACGCGAAATCTCTGATATATGCGGTTAAAGCATTAAGTTAACTTATTTCTTTTTGTTCAAGTACTTACATTTGTAAACAGCAGTCAATGTTAATCTATGAACTAAACCCTACGTGATTGTAAAATCGATCTTTCCTTATGTGGTGGTATAAGCAACAATCAATTCGAAACTAACGATTTTAAATTGACTCACTACTTGACTAGCCTATTGGTCCCAAGCAAATCGATTAACGTACCCCATTCTAGTCGAAATTCCAGTACTACACTATGTTTGTTTTCGCTATTAAAGTTTGACAGATAAAATGAGGGGTTCGTTGATTTTCCTATGTTTCGAGGGGTGCATTGATTAGCTTGGGACCGAAGATAGTACCAGAGCTAAGCCAAAAAGTTGAGCTCGTTTCTTCGGGACCTTCTAGTCTTAGAGTTACCTCTATGGTATAAGGCTGTCCACGAGACAATTGCGATCAGCCGACTTTTTTGTTTACCAAGAACTGGCAGTTTATTCTCATATGAATTTCTGCTTTGTTTATATTTACATTCAGCACCATGAACACCAGATCACTCACACACTCTAGATTTATAGCTGCCAGTTCCACTGAGAAACGTCTCTTGGATCACCTTATTGACGATCTAACGATAACAAAAGCATCGCTTGTGGCAAATAGGAGAACTAGAAAAATGATGATGGTTTCATAATTTGCACGGCGGGGTATGGGAGACTAATTTTTAAACGCTTTTATGTTACAATTAAAATATTTTTTATAAGTTTGGTCGAGGTTACGAGGTTAGAAAAGCTAAAATATGTAAATCTAAACGAAAAATAAAAAAAAATCAAAAATATAAATTTAACTTCTATCAGGTACCGTTTGAGGTTTCTTTCCTCTTAGCAGCAATATAAAAAATAACGAATATTTTTTTTCGGATAATAAATGTTATTTAAGATTTCTCTCTTATACCTCACCGTGCAAAATTTTGAAACCATCATCTTTTTTCTATTTCTCCTATTCGCCACGAGCGCTATCGTTAGATCGCCAATTGAACTTTTTGCGATTCAACGGTCTACGGAGCTTACGCAAAAGTGATTCGCAATTGGCAAATCAAAGTTGGCACTCGTGGAGAATAGAAGAACTATGAAAGTGATGATGGTTTCAAAATTTTGCACGGGGAAGTATACGAGTGCAATCTTAAAATGCTTTTATTTTGAAAATGGAGCATTTTATTTAAATCTGGTTACTGCTACAGTGGTAGAAAAGCGGAAGTCTATGTTTACACCTAAAAATCTGAAAAGAAATTAAGTTTTCTGTATTATATGTCTATTGAGTAGTCCTGAAGTTTTCTACTAACGTAGAACTTACCAGATTTAAATAAAATGCTCCATTCACAAAATAAAAGCATTTTAAGATTGCACTCGTATTGGCAAATCAAAGTTGGCACTCGTGGAGAATAGAAGAACTATGAAAAAGATGATGGTTTCAAAATTTTCCACAGGGAAGTATACGAGTGCAATGTTAAAATGCTTTTATTTTACAAATGGAGTATTTTATTTAAATCTGGTTACTGCTACAGTGGTAGAAAAGCGGAAGTCTATGTTTACACCTAAAAATCTGAAAAGAAATTATGTTTTCTGTATTATATGTCTATTGAGTAGTCCTGAAGTTTTCTACTAACGTAGCACTAACCAGATTTAAATAAAATGCTCCATTCACAAAATAAAAGCATTTTAAGATTGCACTCGTATACTTCCCCGTGGAAAATTTTGAAACCATCATCACTTTCATAGTTTTTCTATTCTCCACGCGTGCCAACTTTGATTTGCCAATACTTCCCCGTGGAAAATTTTGAAACCATCATCACTTTCATAGTTCTTCTATTCTCCACGCGTGCCAACTTTGATTTGCCAATAGGCTCTTTTCGTGCACCATCAATGTAGAGTGCGCTAGCCGATTTTGAGAGAAAATGTCATCCAACCCATTTGTTTACACCATAATGACGATGTTCAAAACTCAAAATAATGTACATTTTAATGCACAACTTGCAAATTTCTATCAGGAGTGGTCTTATTTTTCGATTATCTACAGATCTGAACTGGTTTATAGCTGAAAAAACCACACATTAAAAATCCGGAAGGTCATAACCGTTGCGATAATTTTATAAATCTTAATTTTTCGCTTCAAAAATATATGGAAGCACCAGCCGGATCACTGCAAACCAGAAACAGAAAACAAAATATTCCACGTGGATGATGATTTCAAGCACCTGCGGTGGATAAATTAATCAGGAAAGGTGAAAATATGTTCCCCTTCCTATGCTTCACGGTAAAAATTTCCACCCTCTTCACTATTTTGAGGGTTCCTCTATTCACCGCCAGAGGCTGAATCAATCGCTTAGTCTCTATTGGCGAATCAAAGTTGGCACTCGTGGAGAATAGAAGAACTATGAAAGTGATGATGGTTTCAAAATTGTCCACGGGGAAGTATACGAGTGCAATCTTAAAATGCTTTTATTTTGTGAATGGAGCATTTTATTTAAATCTGGTTAGCGCTACGTTAGCAGAAAACTTAAGGACTACTCAATAGACATATAATACAGAAAACATAATTTATTTTCAGATTTTTAGATGTAAACATATACTTCAGCTTTTCTACCACTGTAGCAGCAACCTGATTCAAATAAAATGCTCTATTTGCAAAATAAAAGCATTTTAAGATTGCACTCGTATATTTCCCCGTGGAAAATTTTGAAACCATCATCACTTTCATAGTTCTTCTATTCTCCACGAGTGCCAACTTTGATTTGCCAATTGGATTCGCCTATTCGGTAGAGCTTGTCAAACGTTTTTGAGGTTATGTAGTATAGAATTTGTTCGGTACGGTCACGAAATCTTGAAATGATTGATACGTCCCTTAAATTAACTAAATTTGATACAAAGCTCAGTAGTAAATAAGTAGAATATCTAGGGAGGAAACCAAAATTAATCAACTTGCCAACATAGGCTATCAATACAACATAGGCTTTAAATGAGAATATGCCTTTTTTTCTCGTTTCGGTTGTTTCGCACGGCGTTCGAAATTCGCGCGGTTTTCGTAACTTACATAATTTAGATATTTCGTTCTACACGAATTTACTTATTCAATCAGATTACTACGCGTTTGTATCTTCGCGCAAACGTCACAGCAGTGTTCAAGCTGCCAACATGCTAGTCCTTCTGCTGTATTGTCGGTAGAAGAAAAATTGATTGAAATATGGGTCAAGTCTTGAAAACAAAGCTGTCACGCAGCTCCAGCTTGATACCCAATAAAAAAAAATAAAAATTATCGGTCAACATTTTTTTTTAAATAAAGCAACTTAACTTCAAGTTTTGCTGTTAACGTCTGGTTGTACATTTAATTTAATTTCACCTGTTGTTGTTTATTTGTTTTGTTTACCACATTCGTGACTTGTCCAGGGTGAGATTTGCACTTAGGCCTTTCAGCGTGATAAATAACAGATGCAAACTATTTACGATTGGCCCGTATTAATTTAAATATTATCAATGCAAAATCAATAATCAAATGGATTTCATTAAATGCATTGAAATTTTCCGTTTCATTCCCCAGTGTAAAATTTCGCTCTCATTTGTCTTGTGTTTGCGTCATTTGGCCGGTACTAATGGATATTTTTGGTCGCTATTGAAAATTTAGTCGATTGCTGAATTTATATATGGATCCACATTAGGGGCATTTAGACCGCCATTACATCCATTTCCCCTATTTCCTATTTAAAAAAAAAAGTATAAAATTATCGGCTTATGATTTAAGTCTTTGATTTTTTTTATGTATTTCCAGGTGGAGAAGATCTGACCGAAGAAGACATGGCTGCTGCTGAGAGTGTAGACCGATTTGGAAGAACAAACTCAAACGTAATTACGAAATCAACAAAACAATGGAAACATACCTCAGAATCGAAAAACTCATTAGACTCAAGACAACAGAAAGCAAATACCAACAGTAATGGGGACAGTGGCTTTGTCGCTTCTGCCAGGCCACTGACTACACGTAAGCATACTCAAACACCAAGTACATCGGAAGCACCAAATACCTTGCGATTATCCAAAGAGAATGATCATAGTCACAAACATAACCATAACTATAAGGATGATAAGGAAGAGGTTTCTGCATCAAATCAAGATCAACCGAATCATCGGAAAAGACGCCATCATCATGGTAAGCACAGTCACCATGATAAGACCGATAGAGAAAAGGCTATTTTACAAGAATCTCTGAGTGGAGTTGATTTGGCGATGGAAAACGTTGGCACTCGAGCTAAGCGTGATACTGTTTACGATCGTAGAATCAATCACGGTGGTAATGCCATGAATTTTTCTAACAATAACTCAGACTCAGAGTCCAGCTTTGAGAATAGTTTACTCACATGCTATGATGGTGATATTCTTGTAGCTCAGAGTTTCCCTCCAAGCCACTTGTGTAAGGATGTGCAATATCTAGAGAATGGTGTCCACATGGTAACAAAGCACGAGGTTGCAACCGACGGATATTATTACTATATTTTCTACAGCGACAACGATTATGTACAGAATGACATTCACGCCGTATTTGACATCTACAAACCTACCTTCCAGTACTCCAATATATCGGAATCGAAGGGATGCGTTAATAGTACAAACTGCTCATTTCCCATTAGTTTCTGGTCTGACGACCGGGTGATAGTAGAGGTGCCAACTAGAGATGGAATAGAACACGAAGAGGATGACATAACTTTTCTAATATCGACATGCCAACCGCGGATGGCCATCTACATAATATTCCCAATATCCGTTCTGTTCCTTGTGTTGACGTGCGCTTTCCTGTAAAGATCAATGCTGTAATGTGAACATTTTATATCTCTTTTTTGACGATAACCTTGTTTAAAAATTTGAAGAGCAAGTTAAATTGTTTTTTTTTTTTATATTTCGTTATAATGCTATTGCATCAACTGATTAAAAGTTTTTTAAAGTATCTTAATGAACTTCCTGCTTCTGGTTTTATCACAGGACTGGCAATGAATAAGCCCTAATTCGATGTTTGGTCAATGGTTATATGGATTGTCGCAGCAACATAAAAAAGTTAACTCTCTCCTTCCCATGATAGGTAGCACAGGTGATCCACATCTTTTCGGTCAGTCTCATGTTTGTCAATGTACCCTACGTGACTGTCAGTACTTATTTAAGCTTGTCCGCGTGTTCATTATTCTCGTCCATATGTATTCTAGAGGATTCAACACATGTCAGAGTTGGATAACTCATTTTAACTATCACCTATATGCTCGTTTACGTTCGAAATGTATTTTCCTTATAAAAAAAAGTGTTTGTATGAAAAACACGTTTCAAATGTAAACGATAATATGAGTGAATAACTCATTTTCTGAGTTCGCTTGTTTCGTTCTTTGACAGCAATATTGTTCAACCAAAAAGAGAAGCCAACGCTAAACTCCACTATTTTATCCAAATGAAGATGGTGAGGTTTGGACACGACAGGCCAGTGTAAAGTACTTAAGGATTACAAATAGATGTAACTGCCTTTCTTCATTGTTTTCAATAGTCGAATATTCTTAAGGTGGAACCCCATTTAGCATAAAATTGTTTGGCATAATGTTTTTTTTTTAAATAGCCATTTTGAATAATGGTCAATTGGCTCCCGAACCCCCGAAAAACATCCAAATTAAAAAGTGGATCATTTGACATAATTGCCATTAGGCATAATGGTCATTTGGCATAATAGAGATGGAGACCGTAGTTAGCACGTTTGACTGTGGTGGGCTAATTTCACTTGAGCTGCATAACACGCGACGGGCGTTCGCTCTATAACCATCAATCTGCTGTACCTAATATCGTACATAACCAACAGAATGACTGAACGATGAAGTATAATAAGAATAATAATAATAAATTCCTGATGATGTTATAAGTTTGCATGGGTAAGCTAACAGTTACGACAAATCGGCGATGGAAGTCATTATTTACAAAAACAATTTACGTCTATTTCAAAATTGCTGATGGTTTAATTTACTGCTATATGGTGAAAAAAGAAACCATTTAAAAGCGGGTCTTAAAACACGTAATTCGCAACATTACAGCGAAAAGTTTGATGATTTGAATATACGAAAAAAGTGTGGATGCAAATTCCTTTACCAGCTACCCTCATATTTTTAAATATATATTCCAGACTTCCTCCACATTAAACATGTCCAGCACTTAGTTATTATCAAACAAAAAAAAACAAGAAATTTGTTACAAGCATGCGAAATAAAACCATGTTTGTATTGATTTTGCTCCTTAAGCAAGTTCTGTTTTTTTTTATTCGTTTGTAGTTACCAAAGTAATGTTATGGACATTTCTAATAAGAACTGTGCATCATTATATTATTTGGGCATTTAATTAACTAGAAGACAATAAACTTCAGACTTTTCCCTTAATAGTTGTGTGAATTAAGTGCGGATTGCAAGCTATGTAAGTACAAATGTTAGTTTTATTAAGCTCATATTCAAACATATCACGTCTTTAAATCGTAAATTCTGTATAGTTTCGAAGGAGGTTTTTAAAGATCGATCGTTGTGACATAAAATACACACAGAGAAATGATTTTTAAATTCAAATGGATATATTTTTGGCTCAGGGCCTAATATATTTTTGGTATTGATTCAAATATATTATTCGGTTAATTCAAAGAAAAATATTTTTGAATCAACAAACCGGTTGTAGAGTCAATAATCTGTTTGTTGATTCTTAAAACCATTTTGTTTATTCAAAAATATGTTTCGTTGAAATAGTGATACAATATGTTTGAATCAATAACAAAATACATTAGGCCCTGAAACAAAAATCCATTTTTCTGCGTGTATCAATAAAGAGAATGGTAAGCACTCAGGTGAAATCAGTAATAATTTAGCAATGCTAGTCCTTATAATGCAGGTAAGTCAGTACATAAGAACCTGTTTTGACGATAAGTCTACACATTAGTAAGTTGCATATTGTAGTGCTGTAAATATGAATTCATTATAAAAGAGGCTATACAAGTGTTGCATTACCATGCATACTTAACAAATATCAGCTGCTCAAAGTTAGGTAAAAAATAACCGAATTCGATAATATTTACTAAGTTTAGTTTCCTCGTCACTTATTATGGCATAACAGATATGCTGGGGGAAGAACAAAAGTAAACAAAAGATTGCAGTACTACATAGTTACCACAAATACAAAATATAAATGACTGTGTCAGAAATAACAAAAGAAATTATTGTGATAAACTATAACCATTACTGACTTGCCATACATAGAAACTGGTACACATATGTTGATCATATGACGGAAATATTGTAAATAAAACAAAAGTAATATATCAACTACATATACGATTATTTTGATTGATTTAGAATTAAATTGCGAAAGAAAAATCCTTTGTCAAATCGAACACTCAGTTTTTTTTAATTCGTTTATTGATAAGGCTCAACTCTCTTAAAAAAAACCTTTACAGATCCAGAAGTTTTTAAAACAATTTAACACTTAACTGATATAGAAGAGTCGTGATGAGCTCTTCTGATATTCCATGGCGATTAGACTGATGAACAATTGGAAATTTTCGCTACACATTGCTCATACGGTTCCAAATCGGGTTCTTATTAGCATCCCATAATTTGAACTCATTTGGTAAGCTGACATGGCGCAAACCATTTGAAGTTTATAAGGAAATTACTTTGAGAAAACAAATATCCATCTAACAATTCACCATACACTTTGCTTTAAAAATTATAATTTTACTCGTAAGAAATTTTCTCAGCTACAACAATGTTCAAAACCACTCTTCGATAGAATGTAAGCATCAAAAGTTATTAATGATTCAAGCCACTTATGTCTTATGATTATACTCAATCAACTGTTCAGCAGGCAACCACAGACAAACAGACATAACTCTTTGAAAAAGTTTTTCTTGAAAACATAGGACCTCAGTAACGACATCTCTTGGCCTTCTCGCGGAAAATAAGCTCGCAAACAATATTGCATAAAAGTTCTATAGAATGTATAGAAACGTTAAATGCGTTAACGAAGATACAGAATGAAGTGTTACGTCAGTTTGTCTGTGAGCACACAATCATGGCTACTCGGTCACACTACAAAATACAGTGTTGCCCACAAAACAGCTGACGAACCGACATGAAACTTAAACTAAACTTTTGCTCGAAAATCTATAATGGCCGATTCAAATGTGCAGCGATACCATCTGTCAAAATCATAGAAATTTTATTACTAGATAAAAATAACTTGTTCAGAATAGATCAGACACGAACCAACTCATAAATATTGCACGCGTGTTCGTTACTTGGAAAAATATTTTCCGCGAACACGGAGACAGATGTCAGTAGTGTGGTTTGAGCACAAATTTCATGATAATCTCTATTGTCATTCATATCGGTTTATCGGTGATAAGATTATCAATCACTTAAACAAATAATAATTATTTTAATTGATGCTTGGCTTAAAAACTATATTCTAAAAAGTTGTAGCTGCGAAAATTTTCCATAAGAAGTTTAGAACTTGTTAACAATATGAAAAAATACTGGAAGACAATGATCAAAAAGTTTGGATAGCCGGCGCCGGTGGTGTAGTGGTAAGCGTGACTGCTTTCTCACTCCAATGGGTCTGGGTTTAATCCCAGCCGAGGTCGGTGGGATTTTTCTGAGGCATAAAAATCTCTGGTCACGTCTTCCTTCGGAAGGGAAGTAAAGCCGTTGGTCCCGGTCCATGTTGTGTTGAATGGGTGTGATATCCTACGCAGGTGTGGAAGCTGCCTTCCTGCACATTCGATTGCCGTCAATAGATGGCAATCGATGTTCTCGGTGATTGGCACTAGATTGCGGAACAGAGACCGACGTTAAATAAAAAAATTAAAAAAAAAAATCAAAAAAAAGTTTGGATTTTCCATAGTAATTTCCAGAACTCATATGGTAAGAAATTGACTTGGAACAAACCCAGCGCAGTGGCAGGCGCTTAGGCAACATGTTATATCGTGACAGTGGGCCCAGCACAGCAAAATAAACGATTTGAGCCCGGGACAGGCTGCCTACTGTCAAACGCTGCTGTTAGTATAGGTTTTGTCACTGGCCTGAACAAACCCTTTGAAGTAGTATCAACAATCAATACGAAACTACACTCAAAAAATTTCACACGTTTGATCGAAGTGTTTAAACACTTGATTTTTTAAATGCAGAATCACATTTTCTTTAAGTGTATTTCACCTTGGTTCTATGTGTTATACACGTTAATTTAGAGTGTTCCAAACTTTGAAATGTTGAAATTTTTTCACTTTCTATTCAAGTGTATTGCACATTGAATCACGCTACTGTTCAAAACAGATGGATTTAAAGTGTTTTGCATTTCAATACGATGTGAATTGCTTGCTCAGAAAGTTAAACATCGAAAACAAGAGTTGTGACTTTATCCTATTAACCCGCCTCATATATGAGAACAACCCTGGCACAGTGAGATAGAACGAAGACTCCGGCAGCAGCACACCCCAACAGTCCATGATCGAATCCCAAATCAGACCCATTAAAAAGATATGTGAAAGCTCTGGCCTCTGGCAGTTTTGATTATATATTTGTCGTTTCAATTTTTAGAGTTGGTAAAGTAGAAGTCGATAAAGTAGAATATTGTAGAATATTGAACTACGGTGTGCAAAGCTATTGATATCACATAGAATCCAAGTGTGTCACAATTCAAATCCATAGTGTTCAGGCATGGTTCATAGCATAAGATTCACACATGAAATGGATGTGTTTCACAATAAGCGCAAAATTAAGTGTGAGACGTGTGGAATTTTTTGAGTGTAACGATTTTAAATTGGCTCACCACTTTAGTAGCCTATTGGTCCCAAGCAAACGATTAACGTACCCTATTCTAGTTGAAATTCTATTACTACACTATGTTTGTTTTGATTCGCTATGAAAGTTTGACAGATAACATCAGGGGTGTGTGGATTCATGCAGAACATGCAGGGGTGAGTGAAATAGCTTGGGACTGCTTGGGACCGTTGTTCTGGTACTGAGTGAGCCAAAAATAATAATGATTTTCTTCGGGACCCAGTGGTCTTAGAGTTACCTCTATGGTAGTATGGTATTATGTATTATGGTATTATGGAAGTGAACCTTACAAATAATGAGTTGTTTAGAACATTCCAAATTCTTGTTTCCTCCACACACTGTTTTGAATCTACCCAGTAACTGGGTACATGGCGCCCAGTCTGGTATCGTAAGGAGTTGTCAAAATCTTGGTAAATTAGTTTTGTTCTGTTGAGTAGAATCTATCCAGATTTTGGATAAATGGTTCTAATTGAAATTTTCCCAAAGTTAAAAATGGCGCAGGTATGAAAAGGAGATTGTTGCGCTGCCAGTGAAATGCTTACTGTTCATAGTATATAATTCTGACGCTAAAAATGTTACAGCTACGGAACTGTTTGGATGACAAATGCTACCAGCATAGTTAGTTAGTATATTGTTAGATTCTGAACTTTAAACTTTTTTATAATTCTAGGTTATCCAGATATTCCGTGCCAACATCAAATCTCAATAAATGGTAAGCATATCGTTACATATCCTTATTAGGGAATTGCAATGCTGTATTACATAGTTATATCATAGAGGTAACTCTAAGACTAGAAGGTCCCGAAATAACGTGCTCAACTTTTTGGCTCAGCTCTGGTACTCTCTTCGGTCCCAAGCTAATCGATTCACCCCTCGAAACATAGGAAAAACCAATAACCCCTCATTTTATCTGTCAAACTTTCATAGCGAATCAAAACAAACATTGCGTAGTACTAGAATTTTGACTAGAATGGGGTACGTTAATCGTTTGCTTGGGACCAGAGCCAATTTAAAATCGGTAGTTTCGTATTGATTGTTGGTTATATTGTGCATTTCACACCAAACTGAACTAATAAGCGCGTTTTCACTTATTAAAAAGTGTGATTAAAGTGCGAGCTTCCGTCTAATCGTCTTGGTGTCTTCGGTGCACTTATTTCTTATGATGCAAGCAATAAGTGCTCCGAAGACACCAAAACGATTTGACGCAAAGGTGCACTTTTATCACACTTTTTGCATTTTTGGGGCAGTCCAGTTTCAGATGCAATCAGCAATACATTTTTCCGACAATCATTAACAGGCTAGATGAGCTAATCGGGTGAGGTTATGTTTGATAGAGCTGCTGCAGCGATCATATCAACAAATTTCTATTAAGTGGGTAAAGTTTACCCAGTTATCAAATGTCAACATCTACCATTACGTTACCCAGTTTCTGTCGCAAGTACTGATTTGGGTGAATGCATGTTTACCCATTTTTTGGTAGGTTCAGTTTTGACCGAACTGCGTACACTCTACTCATTTTTGGGTTGTTTTTAAATAGCGTGCATACATTTTTGGAAAAGGAATTATTAGAACATTTTTATTTATAATTTTATAACTTTAATGGCAATCACACTTAATCTAGCTCGGTAAAATCTCCAACAGCCGATTACCTCGGCATTTACTTTTGCTGACATATCTGAAAAATATCTGTTTGTTAGCTGATATCTCAGCAAAATGTTATTTGTTAGCTGAGTCTCGGCAATTGTTTCACTGAATCTCAGTAAAATAAATTGCAGAACTGCTCGGCTGTTGGAATCTCGGCGAAAATATTTAAGTGTGATGGTTATGGTATACCACGCAGAGAAATATATTTTAATTTCAACAATATTCTGCACGCTTATTTTTTTCTACCGAGCAAATCTCGGCAAAAATAAGTTTCACTGAGATCTCAGCAAAGTGACATTTGATTACTGAGTCTCGGATAATGCTTAGCTGAATCTCAGCAAACAAATAAAAATGTTTACCGAGATCTCAGTAAAACTTGTTTTACGTAGATTTGCAGAGCTGAGCTCTGTAGAAAAAAAAAACTAAGTGTGATTAAAACAATTTTAACCAATTACAAAAATATACTCACCGATAAAACAGCAAATAACCGTGGCGGACAGTACAAATCTGTTAAGAACCTCCACAATTTCAAGCGGACATTTCTTCTACCACTTTTATTTTCGATTACGTTTGCAAAATGGTGGTCACTTTGCTGATTGCGTTTGATTACATAAAATATTGTTGATTCAAAATTTCGAATTGTTGAGTTCAAAAAAATTGTTGAGTTCAAGATTTTTTTTGTCTCAGCCACATGAAATTTCTTTGCGTGTAGTCAGTAAGGTCCATGGATAGTTTTGTAACATCGACATCGAATGTCGCGTGTGGGGTTTTCCGACCGACAATATACAAACTCGGTCGCTCCTCCATACAAAAATCTAACATGGCTGAATCATGAAAGGAATAAGAACACCACATTTCTTGACTTGTGCTTTACAAAATTCATTATATTATAAAGGAATAAATGTTTTCAATTCGATGCCTAGACCTCGGCCTAGACATATCAAACGTTCAGCAAAACTTACAGAATTTAAAAGACACTAGATTTCACACGTTAAAACTGTCTTTTGAACAGTTATCCAGTGATTTTTTTATATGAATTGACAAATTATGTATCTTGACAATGTTATCTCTAACGGATTATTTTATATGGATAGCTGTCATAACTACTTTTTTTTTTAATAATTATTGTAGCACTGCAAAAACTATTTCTGTTCGCCACGATGGTGATGATGGATTTTTTATATTTGATTTAATAGTAGATTAATTAAAAAAAAGTAGTCTACAAAGGTTTGAGCCTCGCGCGCGTTTTACGGATATAGAGAACTTGCATTTAATATTTGATAGAAAAAATGCAATTTTGAAGCTTATTTTGAAGATACCTTAAGTTAGTAGTAAGTTTTCTGGCAAATGTTCGGGGTTCGTGAGCATTCCTGACATTGCTGAAAATTATGATAGCATCAGATTGCGAGGTTGCTAGTGTAATAGGATGCTTTGTTGATTGTTCACTAACTCTTGATTGCTTGTAATACTTATGAATATTTTAGGTGGACAAAAAGGCGAACTAAGAGGTGGATGCCTGAGCTTTTCCACATTTATATCGCTGTGAAGCAACTGTAAACTCTAGAGGGAATTTATATCTGTAACTGAAACCAGTTCGATTTTGTTTGCCAACCTGGTTAAAATGTCATATTTAATTATCTTAAAGATAAATCGTCCAGCTCAAACCTTAAGAGGGGTAAGAGGTGGGACCATAATCATTTAAATCATGAATTTGCCTCATTAGAGCCCCTATATGTACTCACCTCGGATCGATGGTTGTTCATTTGTCATTTTGTCACTCCTATAGGGAGCTGTACCGTCTGGTTAACCCATTTAACCTCACTTTTTTGACATCTGGCAGTGGTTTGTTTCCGTGGACTTAAAAAAAATGAATAGTTTATTAATTTTTTTTTAGATTTTTTGGAAATCATATCTTTTAATTCGTTTTATTTAAAACCTCAAATCCACTTGAAACGACTAACAAGCAAAGGTAAACAAACCACCACTGGATGTCAAACTGATGAATGCGGGTTCATCGCGTTCATTCGTGGCGTCAGCGTGCAGCATCCTAAACAGCAAAAAAAAAAATGTAATATCGATCAATGTAATACCCCGGACACACTGTGGCTTATATCATGTAATATAGGCTGCCTTGCAATGAGCACTCATACATATAGTTTTCACTTGAAAACCTATGTTTGAGTGCTTATTGCAAGACAGCCTATATTACATGATATAAGCCATAGTCTGTCCGGGGTATAATAGCAAAAAGCAGATACAATATTACATCAATGGATGTAATTTTGTTCGCAAAATCGATGTACATGGTACAACGTTATATTACACAACCGATGGATTCCCTAATAAAAATTGTATGGTTAATTTGCTTAACGACGTGTTCTGGGTATCATCCAAACCATTTATGGAATAGTTCAATGATTTGGGTTATCGTTCGTTTATGGTTATTTTTTATTCGGGTTGACCTGGTTGCATCAGTTTGGATGTAATATTCAACAACTTTTTTTCTGTGTATAGTTATAACTTGGTTTATATTTTTAGGTAGGTTCTGGGGTAGGTTCAGTTTTGGCCGATCTGAACGGATTCTACCCAAATTTGGGTTATTTAAAAATAGCGTGTTTTATACCAGTCCAAATGGCACTGCTCTATAAAATGTGCGGAAATGTTGGCAATACCGACTGTCAAATTTCGTTGTGCCCATTCCTGAAAATGGTCTAAATTTCATCCTCCTCTCGTTGTCCCTTCGCCTTGCTCCCCCCCTCTCATCCACAAACCGTACGTCGAAATTTCTTTCTACGAAACTGACAATATGGCGACCTTTCGCTTGGTTTACAAAAATCAAATTCAGCACGTGTGTAAAGGTGCCAAACTACAATCGTGAAAATGTACGTGAAAAATGTACCAAAACCGGTGTTTAAGTGCAGTAAAAGCGAGTTTAAGGAATCGGCAATCGTGTGGTGATAAAGTTGAGACACAATTTGGCGTATTTGTGTAGAAATTTTGTGTTTAAATTCCGTGCAGAGTGGTAATTTTCATCGAGAGGGCCTTGTTCAGTCTCGACATCTTTTTCCTCTTGGTCTTCCCAACATGACATAGCGGTCGGTGCGGGATGTGAGCTGAATAAGCAACGGAGTTAACTAAATTTTAGTGATTCTGTATTACAAAATGTTGGCGAAGATGATTGTTGCTTGTTTTTGGAACATACTGTGCTTTTCATTGTAAGACGTTGCAAGAGATAGCAGAACGAAACTATTTACATGTAATTCCATTGAGCCAAACAGTACTGTTACGTTGTGAGTCACTGTTATTCAACTGGAACAGCAGTGATTCCGAAAGCACTTTCAAATCTAGAAAAATAGGTTATGTGACGGAATATTTTCCGCTCCTAGTAATGCGAAATTGTATTATAAAATGTATACATATACAAGTTATAATCGGCTTGGTTAGGCTCGTGCTGGTTTTTGTGTCAAACAAAAGAGATTTTCAACATTTCAAAGGAATAATCATTCCTTAAATCTAGACTTCAACGGTCTATCCTTGAAAATCGATTGGAGCAATCCGCAAGTGGCCTTTTTTCCATACATGATTCGCATAACTACGATGATTCAAGAAAGAAGATACCGTTTTCCATGCCTTGAAGAAAATGCAAGTGATGAAGAAATCCCACATGAATGGACGATGGAAAAGCAAACGAAGATGTGGACCGGGGAAAAATAGTTGAAGCTCCATCAGAATCATTAATGAGATCCAACTGAGCCAGAGCAATGATTCCACTGCAGATAATTATTTCGAAACTGTCTCATCTGTTGGGAAGTGCAAAAAATTACTCATGTCCACACGATTTTGTAAGGGATTGGAAAATCTGTGACATGTTTTTTTGTGGATTGAATTTCTTGATGGGACTGATTTATCTACGATGTTCAAATTCAACTTAGCATTGTTTTTGCTTGTTTCCTATTTTTAAATAGCATATCTTCTTTCCAAAATCGAAAGGTAGTCTGCCTCTTAAAATTGAATAATCTTAATTCAAAATTGATGAACATGCAGGTAGGACTGTCTTGTTCATTTGGGAAGTCCAGTTCAATACATTGTTGGATTGGGATTATTTTAAACGTTTATGTGGTAGTGAGAGTGAGAGCAGGGAATAGACGGGAGCATGGAGCAAAGTTCGCTCGACTGTCGAAGTCGGCTACTTTTGGAGAGTGGTGCCATGCATGGATCATATTACTTAGGTGAATCTTCATAATATGCTTGAACATTTTGATTATACAAAACATTTGTGAATTTGTTGGTGCTGCGTTTCTCGTACAACTAGGTGTACCGTAAGGCATTCTTAAAAATGCGTCTCCTCGACGATCTTAATAACGTACTATTTGTTATTGCGCATTTTGTACCACTTCAGACTATTGTGCAAAGAATAACTGCACAGTAATATTTTCGCAAAGATCAGATAATTTAATTACACGGCCACAACATTCAAATCTACTTATTTAAAAGCAGTAATAGCTTTTTTTTCTACATGCCTAACGGAATACAGTACCATTTTGTTTTTGTGTGTCTTCGCTATGCTCATTGCGAAATGTATCAAATGTTAGAGAAAAAATGTTAAACCCCAGTACTCGTGCCATCACTGGTCTGCCCCACCAGACTCTACCTGAAAAAAACATGGAAATAATTGGGAGTTCTTTGAAATATCCAGGAATTTTGCCACTAATCAATCAAATATTCAATCGAGTTGTTAAATGTTTAATTTTTTTGTTCAGTTTTTGATGCAATTTTTAAGGAGTACATGGAACTTAGTGGTGCCATTGTCTTTGAAATACAATGAAATCATACTTTTCTTCATCTCTTGTTTCATCTTTTATATTATTTTTTTTCTCATCAGAAATCTATAAAATACACCCAGAATTTTCAAAACATTTCTATGTACGTAATACCGTATTTTTTCCTAGTTCCAGAATAATTGACACACATAATACCTATAGTCGCTATAGTCGCTATATTGATTGAATATAATGTACCTGTCAATTTTGCTACATGAGAGTCGCAATAAGCGATTTTGTCATTTATCTTACCCACTTTTCGCGAAGAAGCGATCAGAAAATCGCTCAGTGACCCTTTCAAAGCTAAATTTGCTTGCTTTGTGTGTCAAACACAAACTCTACAATCTTTTCTTGTTACTTACATATACAAAATATCATGATAATATCTTATTATTCCATAATTTAATAAAACATTTTGTTAGCCAAAATGAATGAAAGGCACCCTTACAGAATAAATGGATTTAAATTTTTCATAAAAAGATCTCGAAGAACTAACCTTAGTTGCATGAAACATTGATTATTATTTTTGTAAGTTTATCAACCCCAATGAAATTCATTTAAACACATGCTTGGCATGCACAGTTGTACACACCAACTGCTCATTTGTTAATAACTTTTCACTCAGTTGTTGAAATTTAGATATCTTTAAAGTGATTGATAGATTAGGATCATATTTTACTGTAGACATGCAAAGAGTAGGTAAATCTTATCATTTGAATCAACACCAATGAATTTTTACACTTGAAACCCGAGATGTGCATTTTTGCAACGCAACATCAAATACAGTTTATTACTAAAGTTAAAATCTCCTTTTTTCAACGTGTATATAACAAGCTTAAACTGCTTCAAACAGAACTATGTTTTGTTAACTCTGTGCAAAGTTATTTGCAAACGAGCAGTTCGTGAGCAAAACTGTGTATGCCAAGCAAGTTTAAACAGAAAAAATACACTTCAATCGGAGTTACTAGAAACTTGATTTCTCACTATAAATCATAAGCGCAAATATTTAGGTACCAGAATCTCATTAACGAATAATAAAAAATACAAAATTATATTGCGCGTTTCACAAAAAATTGGACTAATAAGCGCGTTTTCACTTATTAAAAAGTGTGATAAAACTGCAAGTTTATGTCTAATCGTCTTGGTGTCTTCTGTGCACTTATTCCTTATGATGCAAGCAATAAGTGCTCCGAAGACATCAAAACGATTTGACGGAAACGTGCACTTTTATCACACTTTTTGCATTTTTGGGACAGTCCAGTTTCAGATGCAATCAGCAATATCAGATTCGTTAACAATTCACAAGAAGAAAAATCGGTTTAAACCATATGTGCCATGTACATCCACGTTTTGAACATTTGTATTTCAAGTTCAGTTCTCGGGTTCCACATTCTTTCGCGTAAGGATACGAACTCGTCAAAACTTAATTCCTGAAGGCCATGTTCAAGGCCAAAACCAACCCTTTCTATTTACTATCTCCACTTGGAAAGAAGCGTAATCGAGCTGACCCCAATCTTCCCACTCTGGCACAAGCTTAGAGCATTATGTGATATGGTACAATATTTGACGCTATGTACCTTTTGGCGGAAATGAATCCAATGTTTACTGAAGGTGGCAGAACACCTTCAAAATACTCTGGCGAATGAGAGTCGTACTGACGACAGAACATATCCGAAGCGTTTTTGGAAATCAAAATTCTATCTATCTAGATGAGAAGGGCCGCTTTATATATAGCCTATGTAGAAATTTCACAAGCAAGCTAGTGCCCCATAGTGAAAACAATCTGAACTGATATGTTAACCATCGGGAATGCCTTTACTAACGACACCAATACCAACTTCACAGATGATCAGGATTTTGAAAGACATTTTGATTTGATCATTTTTTGATTTCTAAATCTAGCGTTGACGAGTATCTAAGGTGCATAAAAATTTACAAAATTAGTTGCAGCAACTTACAGTAAAAGCAAGTACGGGAACAGACCTATTGCTTCTGCAAAAAGGTATGCACGCTAAAGGTTATTCCGCGAAATATCCGACCGCGTAAATAAATTTTGTTAAATACTTTTCGGCAAAATTTTAGTGCCATTAGTTTATAAATGTTTTCAAACACTTTATGAAACGTAGACAATTTTTGCAACTCATTTCATTTAGCGAATGCCGTGTTTTAGTTACCGTTACAGTCCTGTTGAAAAAGGGATAATGACCAATTTTAACCCACCTGACTCTACATATGTATGTATTAGGAATAAACCGGATCTGATAACAATGGTTAAGCTACAACAGGCGTAGTCTGCCAACTCTGTTCGAAACCGACAGTTCTCCTATGTGTTTGTGCAACTTCATTGACTGGCTGGGAAATAACACATCCGAAAGGAAAAGAAGTGACCGACCGTATCTAAAAGAGCACGAAATAGAGAGTGTATGTTTTGAGAGAACCCCTCGCTCTTTGTCATCATAGAACAATGTTCACTCTGCCGAGTAGGTAGGTAATATTCCTACACTGACTACGACGACGAAGCAAAGTATCACCCCATCACACACCAGCCAGCACCACACCACGCAGTACGAACAAACGAGACTGACTCTTTAAACTCGCTTTACGCTACCTTTGCCTGGTATGATTAATCGCCATTTCGTATTACACCACGCAAAAAAGTACCGATAGGAAATTTTGCCTAAGGAAGAAAGTGGCGAAATCGAGTGCATTTCGTGTCATCGCAAAATTAACCGCATTCTAATCGAACGTAAAATCCATTTCTTCCATCACATCAAACACGTAGATGGGTGATAATAGACAGGAGCAGACTTACGATGGCCCCGCCGGAATGAATCCAGACGGAGTCATCGAGTCCAACTGGAACGAGACCGTCGACAACTTTGACGACATGGGTCTGAAGGAGCAGCTGCTTCGCGGCATCTATGCCTATGGTTTCGAGAAGCCGTCTGCTATCCAACAACGCGCTATTATGCCGTGCATCAAGGGTCACGATGTCATTGCCCAGGCCCAGTCTGGTAAGTGTGGTTTTTTTTTAATTATTGTTTTCTTTTCTTCGAATAAAGCATCACTACTAGTTTGTTAAGAAAGCATCGAAAACAAATTGAATCTTTCCCAACTGCGACTTCTTGATGTTAAGAAGACGGGAGTGGAGAGAATGATTATCGATTTTTCCTCGCCGCTGCCAAAGAGCTATCAACGATAACCTCGTGTGAGTGTAGTATGTAGGTGCCTGTTTCTCCCATGGCATTCCTTGTTCGTAGATGATTCAGTCACATTTCCAAAAAAGGATATACCTAGGGCACAGTATAGAACTATTGACGGAAAAGTTAGTTACTTTAGAGAGGGACGACCTTGGTAGTGTTTCTGGTGTTTCTATAATACCGTCATTAGGAATTACTTTTCCTCAATCAGTGTTACCAGTGCTACGGTTATGTTTTGGTTGACGTTTGCTGGAGAAAAAAGGAATCTTCTATTACGCATCAATGAGAATCCAGTAAGATTATATCGGGTGTCTACTTATATGACAAACCTGAAATTAGCGTGGAAATTTTCAATATATAAAAAAAAAAACGAATGCTGCGAAACTTCTAGACGAACATGTGAAAAAGGCCAATGTGCCAAACATAAACAATAACTTTAAACGCGGATTGAGGTAAAACTCTCTTCAGAAAATCAACAACAGCAATTTGCAGAGGAAGTTTGTTTCTATAGTTATTTTACGTTTTGTGTTTTGATTTGTGAGGAATTGACGTTTTCATTGTTTACATTTGGCACTTTTCACATGTTCGTGACTGAAATTTTTCGTAGAAGGTATACTACCGGTAGACGCATAATTATCCTTAATCTTCAAATCAACAGAAATACTTCAAGTCTCCTCATCCATTCATGTATGAGTTACGTAAAGAAGTGTGCGTTTGGCTAGTACTGTCGCATTAATGGCCCTTCGCTCATTTTCAACTTCTATTCAATTTTCATACTGCCGTACTCTAGCGTAACTATGAACCTACCCTCTTCAGACCTTTATATAGCTAATAAATTATCGCACTAAAGCTAAATGTTAGTAGATAGCATTTCCAATCAACTCTTAAAAACCTTAAACTTCACGTATGAAGTAACTTAAAAACGTTTTGAATATTATAAATTAAATAGGATTAAAGCTTGTCAAACTGTATTTGATATTACTGACTTAAATCGTTTATAAAGAAAATTAAATTTGCTCGTATATGGCCTACATTTTTGTACGTTTACCATCAAAACGTAAAAAAAAAAACAGAATGTAGCTGAGTTTTTAAAGAAAGATTAAATCGATTAATAGAATCGATCAATGCAGATATGACCTTTTGAAATGTTCATTTAGTATGTTTAATTATCTAGACTAACATTAGAAAGGGGCGGAAGAGCCAAAATGTAAACAAACCATATTTTGCCACATATAGAGAGAAAAGTTCACAAACTATTCGATAAATACGAAAAAGTAGAAGAAAGTATCATATCAAATCATCAAAAACATTTGCTTTTCACATGGCGTATTTCCAATTTTCAACTCTATGATACATCTGGTTGTTACACCTTGCACCAAAACTACGAATTATATTCTTTTACGGAGCAAAACGTACTGATTCTATAGTAATTAGTCACACCCGATTCATTTTAAATGCATCCGATTGATATTTCACGTTTGAACAATGAACAAAAAGAAGACCAAAAAAAATCTCCGAGCGTAAATCCACTCTCACAAAATTTGCGAACGAAGAACCAAGGCGGAACAACAAACCAAAAATCCCGAGGGTATGTTTCCAAGGCGTATCACCAGTGTTGGCAGTTCAAAGGGTGGAAGATCCGGGGGGTAATAGTAATGCAAGACATTATCAGGGCGTATGATGTTTTCTTCTCAATTTCACGGCAAAAAAAAACGTTTTACGCTTCTTACAAAGAAGGGTATAGATATTACTTGAAAAACCGACTATCGATCCGAGGCCCGGAGGGCCGAGTGTCATATACCATTCGACTCAGCTTGACGAGATCGGAACATGTCTGTGTGTGTGTGTGTGTACGTGTGTATGTGTATGTGTATGTAACGAAATGAATGCGCTCACGTTTCTCAGCAACCGCTCAACCGATTTGGACAAACTCGGCGCCAAATGATAGGTCTTGGGGTCCCATTGGTTTTGGAATCGGTGAACCGGTTCCGGAGATATGGCCGGAATAAGATCCGGTGAATATGGGCCTTCACGCTGGATTTAACGGAAAACGTATCAAAACCATCATGCGACACATCAAATTACTACAGAATTCAAAAATAATATCAATGCAAGTCGTGTTAAGTGTTCCAGACCACATTGGACACACTTGGACATGTTTCGGGTACCCCGGGGAAGTTGCTTGAATATGAATTGAATTAAAACCCATTAAATCACATTAAAATACGATGATAAGGTGATTGGTAGCCTCACCAAATAGACTACACCCGGATATATTCCGGGTACCCCCAGGCAGTGGCGTAGCGTCACTGGATGACACGGGGGTGGGGGGCTTGGTCATTGATAATGACAATAAAATAAATAAACTTGAATAAGTAAGAAGGGTCTGATCACACCATAGGTGGATAAATTCGGGTTTTTTTTTTAGTTTTTAGTGATGCATGATGATAGATTACACTATTTACTATATGTTAAGCTAATAAAATCATCCAGAAAATGGAAAGTCGTGAATAAGGATTAATTTTGAGATCTTTAAAATTCGGAAGCGATTTTCTCGATATGGTGATTTTGGAATTCCACCCTTTTCAAATGTTAGTCTAGATATAATGAAAACAACAAAAAAGCATATCAGTTCCATCTGGAAAAACAGCAAGCCGAGAACAACGCTATTGGAAATTTATTTGACCATAGCTCTTATGGATGGGACAACCTGCTTTTGGTATTTTCAAAATATTTTTTGGACAAAGCATGCAACTTTTAGTGCATAGTATAAAATGCCGGTACAATCGGTTTTTATGGAGCAGAGAATGAAAACAAAATAAAACCCAAATTTGATATTTTGATAGGGGAAATGTTGGCTTCGGCAATACCTTAACCTATTATCGTCAGGGGGGTAAACAACGTCCTTGAGAGCTCAATTTTGACATGTGGATACATTGTGTTTCAGAGCATCTAATGGCCAAATTTGAGTGCTCTAGGACTTTGGACGATAATAAGTTAAGGTATTGCCGAAGTCAACATTTCCCCTATTTGTTTATTTGTTATGGTTGCATCAACAGACTAGAAATAGTCCCAATGATGTGTTATAAAAAAAAGTACAGATTATACAGACGACATACATACACTACAGTTATTACAGTTACAAACGAAAATAACTAGGAAAGCATTGTGAAGTTACTAAAAATTTATAAGTCTTAAATTTTACGCTTAGCTGTTGGGCATCAAGCGCCTTCGGTCAGCAAAAAAGGCAGAGAATCTTCGGCGAAGCATATTCCGTGTCAAGTGGAAATCGAACATCGACGCTACTCGGTTGAACACTCGCTGCAAGCCGTAAATAGCGCTCCCTATGCTATAATTTGTTCGAAGAAGTTGAATGTCTCAGCATAAGACTGTTGCGTAGTGATCGAGGTTGAACATTAATGTTCACTTGTAGCAGAATTGCTTCGCAGTCGATTCTTCCTTGCAGAGTATCGGCGACGGTTAAGGCTCTGAAAACATCTCTTCGGATACGTAAGGGCTCGACATTGATCAATTGGCAGCGATTCTCGTAGCTTGGAAGACGAAGTGGGTATCTCCAAGGCAGCTTACGGAGCGCGAAGCGAAGAAAACGTCGTTGAACAGATTCAATTCGCTCGGCCCCATTATTGTAGTTCGGGCTCCAGACAGCAGAGCAGTATTCCAACGTAGATCGTACGAGAGAGCAATAGAGCGATTTCAAGCAGTAAATGTCCGTGAAGTTCTTAGTAATCTTGAAGACAAAGCCAAGCGTTCTGGACGCTTTGTCGACGACATACGATATATGGTGTGAGTATGCCAGCTTTGAGTCTAGAAAAACGTCTAAGTCTTTCACGCAGTGCACCCGTTCGATAGTCGTGCCTAGTAGTTTGTAGTTGAAAATAATCGGTTGTTTCTTGCGTGAGAAAGTAATAACTGTACACTTAGCTGGGTTGACCACCAGTCGGTTTATACTACACCAGTCAGCAAAGATGTCAATCTGATTTTGGAGAGAACGGCAGTCGGCGAGTGAGCGGATGCGCAGAAAAACTTTCAGATCGTCTGCAAACGATAATCGTGGCCCTGTGATAACATGGTGAACGTCGTCGAAGTAGAGTAGAAATACCAATGGTCCCAGATAGCTACCCTGAGGTATACCGGACTTTGCGCAGAAGCTTGCTGAGCGACAAGTACCCAAAATTACTGTCAATTGGCGCTTCGTGAGGTATGAACGAAACCATCTCAAAAGATTTCCACCGATCCCTAGCCTATCAAGCTTAGCGATCGCAATTTCGTGGTTCAGCTTATCGAAGGCTGCCGTAAGATCTGTGTAGATAACGTCCGTTTGGGTCCGAGCAATCAAACTGTCTGTGATGTAAGGCGTTAGGCACAGCAGGTTCGTAGTTGTGGAACGCCCAGTTATGAATCCGTGTTGATCTGTACTTAGATATTGCTTGCAATGCGCATTTAGGGACTCTATGACAACAAATTCAAAAAGTTTTGATACAGCACTCAGCGACGTGATTCCCCGGTAGTTGTTTACGTTGCGTTTGCTTCCCTTTTTATGAACAGGAAACATATCCGCAGTCTTCCAGCAAGATGGAAAGAGAGAGCTGGAATATGCGGCGCAGTGGATCTAAAAGACAAGTGATGTTCTTTTTAAGAATAATCGACGGAACACCATCGGGTCCAGCCTTAGTTGAAGTCGTAAGTTTAAATGCTGCTCTTGAAATCGTATCTGTAGTGGCTTTGACCATGCTGAGCGTTTGGTTGATCAAAGGAACATTACTGGCCGCGGAAGTAATGATATTAGCGGAGAG